AACTGGGAGAATGGATATGTTGTAAGCTCTTCATTAATACGTGGAGCTAAGAAAGAGGTAAAAAAAAAAATTTGCCTTACAAATAGGATGTTTCTTCAGTGAACACTCTAATAACAGTTTTCACTTTTAAAGAAAAAGTAATGGACTGTGGAATTTTTAAATACTGACCCAAGCCTCACCCAGAATATTTTAGGTTTACCATTTGTGCATGTCACGGTACATATAATAAATTAAAATTAACAGCTGGAAGATGACACACCCTTTAGACAAAATTGATCGGGGAAGGAGCCAGGGAGCTGGTTTAACCAGCTAGCTGAAGATTTCTACATGGGATTTACTTTACTATCATTCCAAGAAAATTTACAGCATAGGGGGATTGTTAGGAGGAATGAGATATATGTTAGCATCTGGTTGTCTGAAGACCACAGAAGGCTAATGTAGAGAAGGCCAGAGAACACACTGCAATCTGGAAAGCTTAAAAAATGGCTTAAATTTTATCTATCAAACTATGCCACATGCCATTCAGATACAAACTAGAATTTTGCTCAGTTCAACTCTTAGTTTAATTACTTTATGAAACATCCTGTGTCACAAGTCTATCACACACTCGGGAATGCAAAACCTGTTGGGGTGCACTTTGACAGCTGTTTAGTTCTACTCAAAGCCAACATTAGTGTTGCAAAAGATGCTGTTTCTATTTTCAGCTCTACAAGTAACCATAGGAAAGTTACATTAATTCAGTCTGACACCTGATGAGAAACCCATGGCTACGCAAAGTGGAAATGTCATGGGCTTTTTCAATGGTCATTTGTAGTCAGGACTAACACTTTTAGCCTTGTCCAGAATGATTCATACACCATTGCCTAGACTAACATAGTTTTCATTTTAGTTTTATAGACTTGCAGTTGTGCAGTAATGGATTCAAACCAATGAAGAGAATGGTTCCCTCCTTTGTTAATGATAGTAGGAGGCCTTTTTGTTTTAAATGGAAGTTTTGCAAGTACTTTCTCATAAATATTTCATTTTATCATTCTTTTGACATGCTGAATGTGTCCTATTTGGAACAAGTCACTGGCAGCTGTAAGCTTCCCAGTGGAGTTCCAGTAAGCTGGAGTGTGCCCCCATAGGACTTGATCACTGTAGCGATTCTGTGCCCACCACATAAAGATATTCTTAATGGAACTGAGTTGCTGGAAAACTTCTCTGCACACCATTACCCCTCAAATGATACTGTAAAAAATTCTCCAGAAAATAAGGTTGTGTTGTATTCATCATGGAAGATAATTCTGTAGGAATGAAACATGAGACACAGCTCACCATTCTGCTCCTGCCGGAGGGGTCAGACCAATCCTACCTGTGTGGGTCAGATCAATCCAGCCAACCCACACAAACCTCTACCATTCTACAAAACTTCAAACAATTAAAAGTGCATGAGGTATGTTTAAGGTCTTTCCCTACTCGCATAAGTTGAGCAATCCCTCCAAACACATATTTCAGTGTGCACAATTTGCCCCAAAGATCTGTGGTTTTCTATTTTCAACCTGAATTCAAAATTCTGAGGATAAACACCTACTGGGTATACATTTCAATTAAATTTATATTGCTATCTTCAGTGAAACTATCTGTAGGAGGAGTGCAAATAAAATGAAATTTAACACCCTCATTCCTGAAATTTTAGCGCATGTGTGGTATTTTACACATTTAATGCGAGCGCCCCAAATGTCACCAAAAAGGTAAACATGCCAGTTTTTAAATATCAAGCACAGCACATAGTTACAATATGTGACAATAAAATCTGTCTTTACAAAGGGAAAAAGGCACACAAAGGTGAAACACAGCTGTGATTTTCCACTTCAAACAGATAAAAACCAGAAATGTTCCTCCCTAAACTGTTACATAAATTTTATAATAACCCTCATATTCATACTTATTTGTAAAGACAGAAAATTATTTTAAATATATCTGTATGCTATTTCAAACAGATTAAACCCTATAATTTAAAAGAACAATTTTCCAGCCTCTAGATTCTAGGTTGGTCTTTTAGTAGTTTCCAATTGTTTCTTGCATTCCTTCACTTAACTTGAAGGTTGCACTAAGGGCACTGCAAAAACCTGTACTAAGTCATGTCATTTGATGGGCCAAAACTTACTAAAGCTTCTTTCATGCCAAGGAATTACAAAGTAACAGATATGAAGAAGAAAACACTTACTGAGCTGAGGCAATTTTACATCAGGTAGATGAAAAGAATGATTAATAGATTTGAATAAAAGGTCTTTTGTTTGCACAAGAAAAAAAAGAAAGTTTACAACACAGTGTGTCTAAGATGGAAAGTGACTGACTGCAACATAAGACAATAAAGATTCATCTTTTATATACTGTATGCAGAGCACAAAGATGAATGTTCAAATAAATGCAGAGCAGGCAAGAAAATACATCAGCTGATAGATATTTATCCTATAAGTTGCTTCTACTGTAAAACACAGAAAACTTTTTAACACCTTATATTAATAGTCCCTGTAGAAATGATAAATATAAAATTAGTCTTAAATTCCTTGGGCTGTTTATGAAATAAATTAAAGGACAACAGAACTGAGATCCACATATCTTTAATATCTCATAATTTAATGTAAAAAAGCAGCCTACTGTGCAATCTAAGAAGGTAAGACCATATTTGTGATTATGACTTTGCAAAATGAAAAGCATATGTGTATTTTTCATGTTGGAATGCCTCCATCAATTCTGTTATTCTCTACTGGTAATGAATTAACACTACACAGAGGAGGAACAAAAAAAGAGCTCAGATCATCATTCTGGAATCAAACATAGTCTTACTAAAGAGAGCATTATCACAAGCATGTTTTGTATTAGTCTTATTTTTAAAAATATCAGAATGTTATGAAGGATATTGGGCAACTTCATTGCAATTCTTAAAAATGAATTTACTTGTCCAAATTTCATTGAAGGTTTTCAACCATAAAGTTCCCTTCAACACTACAAGGATTGTTACTGATTGAAAGTGATAAGGACAAAGTAAATAATTCTTCAAATTACAACTGCATAAACTTTCTGGTATTGTAATTCCAGTGTCAACTTGGAGAAAACCAGTAAGGAGTGGTATTTAGCAACCCCCCATTAGACAAATGTTTACTAAGATTTGAATTTGTAGATACATAGAGCTTAAAGAAGTGTAGAAAATTTGCCTTTCATTGTGTTGGCACTACATTCAATTACATATGACAGTACTCTGACACACAGTGACCATTATCATCACTATGATACATTTGCTGTATACAATAAAACCCCAAAACCCTCCTTCACTAGAGGGAACAGGAAAGTGAGTGTGTATTCTATTATACATAACAGTATATATAAACCCACCCTAATCCTGAGCAGTGCAAATTTACAGTATTAAATGATGCAGTAAAATAACCATTTAAAATTAGTAACTCCTACATTTCATTTATTATACTTCACAGAATAATCAGCCATCAGGCATGATGTGATTAAGACCACAAATCTTGGCACTGCAAATCTGTTTTGTTGTTTGGACTGCATATTTCGCTATACTTTACTCCTAAAAGAGCAAAATAAATGAAAAAAATAATAAGAAATTAATCATACATATTCCCCCTTATGCACGTATTTTCTATAGCTGATGGCTGTTGTTGCAACACAGTAAAAGCTACTATGTCCAAATTTGAAGAGGAATCTCTGCATTTGCTTTCAGAATACAGCCATGTGTGTCACACAAGTGACTATGATTTCAATTCTCTCTCCCATTTCTCAGTTTAAAAAGTATTTTCAACTCAAACACAAAGGTTAACTAAATCCACCATATAATTCCATGTGAAACACTAATATAAATCAGACACAAAATGATTATTCAAGGTCACTGAGTGAATGACTGGTCAAGATACCAATTCTGTATTGCACTTCTACTTTTGAAAGGATTAATTCAAATATATGAGGATTTCCAACTGAATACTTTCACTGCTTTATGCACACACATCGATGGCAACTGTTAAAGTGCCTTGGTGAGTTGCGTTCTAACTTTTAGCTGTTTTTCTGGAAACAGAAGAAAAAACAACCCACAAAAAAAAAACATGTAGGCACATCCCTAAGCACTAGGAAAGGCAAATTCTCAGTTACAGTATAAATCCAGCTCATATTTCACTTCTATTTAGAATGTGATTAATCTTCTAATAATAATAAATAATGATTTGCGCTGAAATGTAGTAGGAGACAACTTTAAAAGGTGTTTTATTTCACACACACACATATACATTTTTAAATCCGTAAGTATGCAAAAGCCAGACAAGAAGTTTGATTAGATTCAAAACTTAAACCCAAAACCACCACAGCTAATAATCCAATTTACTCTAAACAACAGAACTCATCCAGGGATTCTCATGTTAAACCATAATTCTGGTTGAACCACAGATCAAATTTCATCAGTAGAGAGCCATCCCACTTCTCACTAAGACATTCAGAGGTATAATTGAGCTCACTGGGAAAAATGTGGATTGGTTCCAGCCCAAATCTATTCAGACTCAGTTTCTAATCCTGAGATTTTATTTTGCCTTTGCCTGACGAACAACAAAAGCACTGGGGAGATACACATATATATATCATATCATATCATATCATATCATATCATATCATATCATATCATTTAACTACCTTTATTTCTACTGGATAATTCAGGGATTACATTTATGGAAGAAAAGCGTCAATAGAAAATTGAGTTCTTTATGGCTCACAGTATAGTTCTGTATCACTTGAGACCAACAAGTCACAAAGTGTAAAATATTAAGTATATTTTGTGATTTCACAAATAAATGTTATAGATTGAGAAAGCTTTAAGTGCCCTAGGGATCAAGAGTAATAATTTTTTTAAGAAGTACTTTATGCATACACCAAATATGCTTTCACTTCCATATTTAATATTTGTCTTTGTGCTGTTGTATTTTATACGGTAAAATATTTCATATATCACTTACTTTTTTGTCTTCATTATATTTATGAAAAATTTCTTGTGCTCTTTCTTCACCACCATCCGTAAACAACATAATAATCTTATTGCAGTTAGCTCTGGAGACACTGTGCTGTAGGAGATACAAACAGAAGTGGTTTTATATTTCAGGCTATAAGGAATAACAACTGCTATATCTGATGGCTTTTATATCTACATCCTTACTACTTTAACATGGTAATGGCAAAACTTCAAAAATACTTTAGGATTTTTTTCAATACACCCTTTTGAATGAGAAATAAAATAAACCAAAACCATTTTTCTGTTCCACAAGACTTAAATACGATCCATTTCAGATCTGGACTAACACAGTGGAATAGGGATCTGGTGGTTTCTCTCACCTCCACAAACACCAGGAGAACTCCTTAGCTCATACCCATCACATCGAACCCCCAGTGTTCCTATACAGATGTTCTGCGTAAGACTTGCACAGTGAGGGTCTCTAAACATTTTTACTCTTTTCTCATCCCTATTTTTTTCCTCGTCCTTACTGTACCTGTGGAAATTTGTGAACAATGACCCTGTAATGAATTACTGAATATGCTTATTTTTTTCTGTTGGACTCCTACTCACAGAAACTATCCAGCTCACTGACCCCTTAAGTGAAATTCTGTCAATTTAGGTATCCTGTAGGTATGTCCACCCTATAAGCTCTGAAATGTTTTGCATTTTTTTCACATTTCCTTAAAATGTGTTTCATCTTTCAAGTCTTTAATTCTTTCCTGGTTTTCTAAATTATTATTTTTAATACCTTGAAATGAATAGCTAATCTTTAGAAAAGTATCTTAGAATCAGGTTTACATAATAGCCAAAATGTGGCTTCCTAGATTATTAAAAACTCTCCATCACCTACTTTTCTAATTAGATTGCATCTCAGAGCTGAAGAACAGAGTGAGTTCCATTATTTCTGGGGAGCAAGCCTGAAATAGGAGAGAATTAAGAAGCCTCTCTGACTCCTAATTCATCAAACTAGTAAAGTCCCTGAGAAAAATGCAGTGTGTTTTGCAAAGGAATAAAAACATTGTTCCACAGGTAGAACAATAGAGGTGAGTATGAATTTTGGCTCCTTATGGAAGGACCAAAGGCTCCTATTTTGGCAGTCATCCTCTGTCTTTATTCTGTAAAGGTGAGAATCCAGTCTAAGCAAATTGCTCATGACTCTTGCAGCCAGTGTTCCTTGCCCTTTGTATTGCATACAAGTGGTCCCAATAAATTCAATTTCTCCTTCCACAAGCCTGTATTTTGCTATATGAATTTTCTCTAGAGTCAGGAAAATAAATAGGAGAGTTGTCCTTACAGAAGTACTCAGTTCCCCCTTGCTTCACTTCTTATGGTCAGAGAGGGACTGTCACCAGGCTGGTCAGACTGAAACACCAAAACCAGCCCTCAAATATCACCCAGTAACTCTCAATATTGCATTCTACAGTTCTACAATGCTCCAAGAAAACTAAAGCACAAAATCATAATAAACAGAGTAAGAATTATTCTTCGAAGATGATTTATGTTTATAGTTCAATATTCTGTGAATAATTACTTATTTATTAATTAAAAAAAAAACAACAAACACAAGCCGAAAGATTTTCTTACATGTAACAACATATAAAACCTGCTTGAAATCAATACATTCTCTCCAACCTCACCAGCACACTGTGTTTCAGTTGGAATTAAATAATTTATGATCATTTTTCACTTGTGAAATATAAGTTACAAGATACTGCTTTAGGCTGCAATCTTTTCGATATTAAAAAAGTAATAAAAGTAGAGTTGGATATTTCATAAATAAAGAAATTCACATGCATTTACGGTGGTTTAATATATAGGCAAAAATAAGGTCAGAGGGAAACAAAAGAGATATATCAAGGAAGGGGACCAAAACTTGCTCATATTACAAAACCTTCCTACTGATTTTGAAACAAGCACTACTATGGGCAATGTGAACTTGAGCTAGACCTTGCTTTAACTGGTTAAATCAGGACTTTTCTAGTGGTTTACTCAGCATATGCTTATGTTTTATGTTTTATCTCCTAGTACTTACAGAAGGGCATTTACTTACACTACGTTGTCTAGACACTAAAGTCATGTCATAGAAAAAAACCCTCAAGATTTTAGCCTCCAAACATTACTGGAAATCTGAACATGAGTAAGTTCAAATCATATGATACTATATCCATATTATATATGAAGTGTTTAAAGCCAGTTTGGGTGGAGCTCTGAGCAAGCTGGTCTAGAGAGAGGTGTCCCTGCCCATAGTAGGGGAGTTGGAGCTAGTTGGAACAGCAATCTTTTCATGCCACAAGTGAAATGTTGCTCCAGTGTACTGGAAAATTTTTAGAAATAATTGTCATCCAGAAAGAGTGCCCACAAAATTATTATTAAAAATTGAACAACACTGCATTTCTATGGACCATAAAGCAATTGGACCATTTGAATTCATAAATATACAACTGGAAATTATCGCACAGCATATTTTTATTATTTGTTTAAGCTGGTATTATATCATCATATATTGTCTTGTCACTGGAGTCTAGTGCTAAATCCATCACCAGCCCTTTACTCTTCCTGCTAAATCGATTTGCCAATGTTTGGAGAGGATAACTGTATATCTATAATCTCGTGCAATCCACAATGTCCAGCCATAATTTACAGTCTTGCAGAGATCATGTGAGGCTAATCACACTCCTGCCTTCAGCTACAAAAGAGTTGGTCCCACTATGACACTGATCTCCCATTAATTTTTAAATAATATTTGAGTCCTATAAACAAGTCCACTTTGAGGTTTCCCCTGTGTTCAGTTTGTCTTAATGTTGCCTGCACACAAAGTATATATCTGGTGTTCTATGTAATCCATAATTTTAAGGAAATATAAATGTTATGAGGAATATATTTGGAAAAATTCCTTGCTTTCCTCTTCCCTCTGCATGAGATATCAACAGATGCAGAAAATGGGAAAATGCCATCCAGCCTGGTCCAAAAATATCCAATAGACTTTAAAAATAACCATCAGCAGAGGGTACCCACTCATTTCTCCCCCAAACCCCGCTGCTAAACTGAATAGTGGTCGACTGAGAAAATTCCCATGAAAAATTGCTTTTTCTTTTCCTACGTCAAAATTTAAGAAGGTTAGAAATTTTTCAACCATTTCTAGCCTTAAACTCCACATACAATGTCAGGGAAGCATCCTGAAGTCCAGAACCTGGCAGATTAGGGGAAAAAAATAAAGTAAAAACAAATATATTACAAAAAATCATAAAGAAAAGAATGCATTTCATACTTGTCAAGCCATATCCTTATCTGCTGTAAACTGATTCAGCTTTACTTGCTCTAAGGTGGAGATCTAATATGCAGTTTTTACAAAGGTGAAAAGTAGAATTATTCTTTTAAACAATCACATAAATCATTAAAAATTTACCAATTAACTCCCAACATCTGGGGTAAATGGGAAACTGCTATTCAAAAATGTAGTGCTTGGGTGCAAATTAGAAAGTACAATGTATTTAAAACATAGTAACTCATTTCTTCTGCTCTATTCTGCTCAAGCCATGGTAAACTATTTATGACTTCTAATAAGTGTGAAATTTTAGGTTAACTAAACATTGCTAGGAGGTGCTGTGGTAAAATTAAAATAATAGCACTATAACACAGAGCTGTCCATTCTAAAATTAACTGCAAGTTAACCACTACCATAAGTATGTGTCAACTGGGAATCACATGTTAAATGGAAAACCAGCTGAATGAACTAAACCAGTACAACACATTGAAAACCACATCCATTCCCAAATCTTAGCAACCTGCTAGGGAATCTGCAAGGAAAAACATTTATGGGATAAATTTACTTGCTAAATAAAGGTTTGCACTTCGACCACTTAAAGTTACACAATGAAGAAGCACCCAGTGACCATCTGAACATTCAAGTTCTCCTGCTTCACTTGACAGAAGAGAGATATTACTTAAACACTTACATTTAGCAGCTGTTCAAAAGCGTAGCTAAAGCCTTTTTTGTAATCTGTAATTCCTTTAGCAGAAATTTTATACACAGCTTCTTTCAGTTTCTTCTTGTTCCTCACATTAGCTTGGACAAGATGATTAAAGCAACTGACGTTCTGAGCATTATTATTAAACTGTAAAATAAAAAGAAATGGTATTAAAACAGTTAATTTTCTTTTCTGTGTACTGTAGTGCTAAAAGTTTATGTTGTTTGGATCCATGAGATAAAGAATATCACACCTGGATTTTCATTTCCACTATTGAGAACGTCCAGCAGCATCTGGAGATTTCAAAATGGGGCAATAAATATATTTAAAAATAAAGGTATTTGGTGCTTCACCCGGTGGCAATCAAGAAAACTCTACTATAGTGGAAAAATTCCCACAAATTTTATTTCAAGTTTATATTATGAAATAAAACTCAGACACGCAGACAAAATGAAAACCATAGAAAAATACATATTTTACTCTTTTTAATCACTGAAAAATACTGGTTGAGTTATCAGGTGACTTCTATATTGCACCTATCAGTTTGGTGGTTTACAATGAAACCTACATATCATATTCAAGTAGTACATATACCTTATGGAAAGCAAAATACACCCTTGGGGAAAAAGGAAGCACATGAGAGTACAGCTGCAAATACGAGAATATTGTTAACAGCAATACGAATTTGTGTATTGAGAACATACGTGCTTCTGCTGTACTACCCACATATCCATAAAAACTACTCCCTTTTAATTAATTTGTGTGAGATTTTGACATTATGTAAAAACATTTATGTGAGATTTTGACATTATGTAAAAACATACACAGAAAGTTTTTAAGTTCAAGATGTCGTCTGCACAAGTAGAAATCAGTTTATGATCACTTGAAAATTCATCTCTGTATAAATATACATACATTCATGTATATGTACAACTATATGTATCTGCATAGAGAGAGAGATGCAGATATAGGTCTCACTTTGTAGCAGCACCATGTATCATTTTAATGCTAGTTTTGGATGAAAGTGCATATTACTGCATACGAGCTGTGTTTAACTCTATTTGAGTGAAAATCTCCTTTTAACTACAACACAGTGACTTTTATTTAAGATACTCTTGACTAATATTACTAAAACTACTGTCTTGGCCAATTTTAAACTGTTTCATCTGTCAAGATTTCTTATGTGAGCTTTTTTCCTCACTGGTAAAGATGATGTCCAAAAATCTGTGTAAACTCCATCTCAGTAAAGGTACTAAAATACAGACCTCCTAATTTAGCTGAAAGAGATTATTATGCGTCTTCCTGATTATGGATCTTCAGTGAAAGTAAATGTAAATGTAATTTTGTGCTGTCAAACTTGTGCAAAGCCTTAAAATAATGTAAAAATCAGGCCTTGCTGGTTTAAGTCCCACTACTGCTAAATAGTTCAATAGTGCTCTATAGAATAAAAGGTAAATAAGGTCACAGATAAATGCTCAGACTACGTACCAGTCTAAAATAAATCACTAAGTACCAGGCACAAAGTGCAGAGAGACAGCTGCTGTCAGCAGCAAACACCAACTTGCACTGTGACTGTATGACACTTATAGTGAACAAAACTTAAAAGGATGGAAAGATTGATAATATCAAACCATTTTTTATAATGTCTACTATTTCAATTCAAGTTATTAGGATGCTTAGGATGTAAGCAGACTTTTCCCTGTCCTTGAACCATATGCTCCCTGCTGTTAGGACCAAAGAAAACATGAACTACCGGTTATTATTCTCAAATATCCACTTAAATCAATGAGACTTCTGCTATGGAATTGCTAGAAATAAATGTGTAACTGCAAATACAGTGCGGCTAATGGCAGAGATGACTGACAGAGGCATCATCCTCATCAGAAGGCTTAGCCTAATTTGTTCCATATCCTTCTTGAAAACAGTCACAGAACTGCAACTGTGGGGATTTTGGGTGTAATTGAGCAAATCCAGGTGCTATTATGAGAGCCTTTGCTCTGCTGGATTCTTCCTTACAGTTCCACATGGAATATCTTATTCTCAGAAAGAGGATGTGTGAAAGTGCCCCATAAACTAGAGAACTTAAAGAATGAATTTGTCTGCCTCGTCATGTTTTTATTGCACCAGAAGCCCCTCCTGCATGTATGTAGAACCTAAACTTATTTTAATTTTGAGCATTAAGTAATTCATAACTAATCTAATACCTTGTCATTCTCATATTGCAATTATTTTGATAGGGTGCTTATTTTTGATTTTTCCTCATGAATTAATATTGTCTTTTTGTGAGACACCAATATTTTTTTACGGTATAGCCAATGTTTTCCTGAGGACTGTATTAGTTAACAAATAATATTGATTTTTGCTAAGCAAAACATACTATGACAATACTCATATAAGAATCTTCATCTATCTTTCTAATTAATAAGAACAGTTATTACTCTGTCCCAATTTTATAGTTCTGGTCCCCAGGTGATTAAATATGCAGGAGCAAGTTATTCTCAAAAGACTTTATGCAAATTTTTCTATCCCCCTTTCTGTCAATAAGCAGTTCCCAATGTATCACAAGGGGATGGCTGCTTCCAAAACATACAAAATCATAAATAAGTGCTTTAATTTTGAAAAATGTAGTGTTACATTTGACCAAGTATTCTATGGAAGAATTAGTTGTATATAATGGTATAACAAAGGTGGTTTATTTATTTTTGTAATATTCTATTTATTGTTGCTTTAATTTTCACAATACCACAACCACAAATATACAATTATGTATCAAAATTATTTACAGTGATATAAATATGAAAACAGGATGAAAAATGAAGATTAAAAATATTTTCCATTTCTCCCAGTGTCACAATGCAAACTTAACCTTTAAAATAAATGAAGACATGGAATTGGACTACATATATTTTAGCTTGAACATTCCTTTAATGTATGTCATATTTCTCAAAAAAGAATATTTTGGTAGGACCAATAAAACCAGCATGTTTTGTTGCTTAAGCAAAACCACAAGATGATCACACAACTGTTTGATGAAGAACACTGACATACTCAATGGTGCTTTCAAGAATAGTTTCTACCAGAAGTAACCAGTAAATCATCCAATGATTATTGGATACATAAAACCATGTGGGAGTGAAAACAGTATTGTGCTGTGGAATTATTTCAGTTTATCTCAACCTAGGTTTATAGTCATGATGGGAAAATTACAACCATAAAGTAATTTTATAAAGAGCAGGTCTCAAAAGGAATTCTAATTCTGAGTTGGGTTGAAAGGACAGAACTTCTACCTGGAAAGTAGAAGAAAATTATTACCTCATAGGCAGCTCTGCTCTACAAAAGCCAATTTCATCTGAAAAACTAAAGTGAAAACACTGCTGTGGTCCATCAGTGACATTATATATGAATTATTTAATGTATAAAAGTAACAATAAGTTTAATCCTACAGCCAGTGCACGCATTGTCTTGGGCTATAGCAAACAGCGGTTTAGATGTTCAAGCAAAAATTTAATGACAAGAGAAAATTTCTCCCTGAAGTGTTATTAACATTAAACTGCAAATCTAAATTGCTTTCTAGCAGTCCTTCAAATATATCAGCATAATTATTTCTGTGAAGGTCAGGTATCTAGCATGTGGATCTGTAATTATGGCTACAAAAATGACATGTTAAAAATTGTCAGGAATACCAACTCAAACTGTGGAAGAAGTTGACAAGTAAACTGTACTGTAGGACAATTACACATTAAACTGTACTGTACTGTACTCACTCATGCTGTAAACAGAACAAAGGGGCAAGGTCAAAGCATCTGCATCTATAGATTGACAAATGCTGATGTAAAACCAAGGAGAGAAATGACACATTTGTAGGATGGAGAGTTACATCAACCAAAGTCTGCAAATGCTGGAATTTAATTAAGAAAATATATGAGCCAGCTGTTTCCAAAGATATCAGTCAACGTTAATGTTAATGCCAGTCAGAAAAGCAGATGAGCAGAGTTTTTGATTAGATGAACAACAATCCTCCAAAATGAACATTTCCCTGTTTGCTAGGAGGTGCAGGCAAAGTTGAAATGTGACTGATGAAAATTTTCGAAGGGAGGAACAAGATTCAGGGGTACATTTAACTAATCTGAACTCCAGTGAAGTACTGAAATAATAGAAGCCTTCAGATCACCCATAAAACTGACTTTTCATATGTGACAAATACCAGGACTGTTCAAAACTTTGAATTAGCCAAACTGAGCCAGCTTTTAGTTATGCTCATGTGAAATATAATAACAATAGTGGCATTATAATTTTTTGCATATTAAGATACGAAAAGCCAAAATAACTGCAGTGAGCCTTTAATGATTACTCATTACATTGCCTGACTCCTAAGCACCGTAATAATTCTTATTTCAGTTTAAAAGATTTCTAGAAAGCCAGTTAACAATATATGCAATAACCTAGTATTTAACTGAAGAAAAAACATGTAAGATTTCAAAAACTAGTTGCCACTTCAGAAAAATCTATGTGCTTACAAAATCAAATTTTATCAAAGGAGTAAAATTAAGGTAATTACAATCCCTACTTTATTGAACAAAATACTCTCAGTGTATCTATACGAAATACATCAGTTGGGTATTTATCAGGCTGGCATTTCCCCCTAATTACTGCAGTAAATATAAGCATATGTCACAAAAGTGCTACCGGTAAAAAGGAAATAAATGGAATTTGTTTATGATGCCATGGGCTTAGTGATTCACTTACAAAACAATAGATGACATTTGAAGGTAAACCATTCAATTGTTAAAATGTAAAGCCATCCTATACAGTATGTCACACTTGTGACAGCTCCTACTTTTTCAATTATATGAAAAGCTTATTCTTTATTTAAGCTAGAATAAGAGGGGCTTGAAGGTAAACAGTTGGAAATCATGGAAAATAGGACAACTTTAAGCTTTTTTATTTTAAGGTATCATGAAATATTAATATAATTAAATTTGTCTAGTAACTATACCTGCAAGGTATAAGATTCTAAATGCAGTTTTCACTAGATTATTTCTCACCACCCCATTTATTTATATCCTTTTGCAGTCTCCACCTTTGGGATGTCCCAGAACTATCCTCATTTCTGAGGAAATTAAGACCTCCTCTTCACAGGTTTGGGC